ACTGAAGCAAGTAAATCACATTATAATTCTTCACATATTAGTAAGAAATGTCAACAGATGTGTTAGCTCCTTATTTATATAATAAAAAGCAGAATTGAAATGACCTCAAGTAGTCATCTACTCCGCTCCCCTACTAAAACCAGGATCAACTATAAAGCATTAGAGAGCAATTTTTGTCTAACCTGCACTAAAAATTTAGTCTGATGGATAAACCCAAACCCTTCAGATCTGTTCCAGCGCTTTATAGCCATCATTAGTTGGATAGATCCTGTTATAGTTAGTTTAAATTTATCTTGTTTAAACCCATTACTTCTAAGCAAATTCACCAGTTTCACAAGCAAGAACAGAGTGAAAATACCTGTGATCCATGTGCATTAGCTTCCATATTCTGCCAATATTTCTTTGATTCTTGAACAACAGTATCATGTGAAATACCTGCAAAGAAAAAGAAAGAAGTCCTGGACGTTTAGGAATATTTTGAAGCTTTATTTAGGCAAAAAGTCAAGTGAATTCTCAAAAAACAAAAACAGAATTGTAATTACCAAATGAAAACAATACTGTTAAGTACCATTCCATTCATTAAAAAAGGGACTTTAAATTTAAGGATATCTTCAATACAACAACAAAGCAATATACATTCATAAATACAAAGTGAAGCTTAGTTTAAGTACTTTACACAGCTGAAACCTGCCAGAGAGCCTGCATAGCAAATCTAGCTACAATGCTCTTAGGAACAAGCTTATGTTGTTCTCCCCACCTCGCCTCCCAAAACTGGACTCCAATTTATGTTCATATTTTACTAAAATACCCCAAATGTCATATATATAATTAGGGGTATGTGAAATGAGCCGTATTCTATTTGGATTCGGCCCAAATCAGGGGACAGTGTTTTGATTTGTTGATTCCAATCACTGTCCTGATTCGATTCGGCTGAATCTGAAGATTCAATGCTGATGAATCAGCAATTTGGCCATAGACACAGCTTTAAAAATGTTTTTTTCTACATACATCAAGGTACCAGGCAAGGCTTGTGACCGCTGCAATGGTGGGGCAGATGGAGCATCCCACAAGAGCATGTGGGGGGGGGGGCTGCATCCCGCCAGCTCAGCAATCGGCCACAGGGGAATCCTGGGTGCTCCCCAAACCTAGAAGTCACCAGTCGCAGAGCCAGGGATGGGTCCCCCATGCACTCCACGGCAGGCCTGGAAGTGTTTCTGGTCTACTTCTGGGTCCGCCACTGAGTGCACTGGAGACCACCTCCCCCACGCTCCTGTGGGATGCTCCATCCACCCCACCATCGCAGCGTTCACGAGCCGCTTGGTACCTTGAGGTATGCAGAAAAAACATTTAAAGCTGTGTCTATGTCTGAATCATCAAATCTTTCCGAATCAATTTGGAGGGTTCCGATTCGATTCGGAGAGATTAAAGGGTCTCCTGATTCTATTCAGATTTGGAGATTCGGCTGCTGAATTGGGCCAAATCAAGTCATTATATATGTCATAATATATATATGGACATCCCTGAACTTGAGACAGCACAAGCAGATAGAAAATGATCATCATTGCTTGCAGAAAAGTCATTCTTGCAGCCATTTCCCTCTACAGGTCTTATCCTTTTTCAGTGTCCTCTGGGTACGGATGTTTTTGGTTTCTCTTTCCATATGCTTAAACCTTTCCCAAGGTTTTCACTTCCCTAATACCACAGAGATGCTGAATGTTCGGGACACTGAGGTCTATGATGGTTACAGAGTCTCTATAAAGGCAAACTAGCCTGTGCCCGAACAGTTCTGAATGTGTTTCTACCTCAGGCCTTCTCACTGCCTTCTTTAGAGTCCTCAAACCTCACAGCCTCCTGAAAATGCTGATCTTTGATTCCCTGGATACACGTTGGGGTGTCCACATTTCTCCACACAACCTTTTGTCATGGTGATTCCATTTAATTAAGTAGCTTCATATTGTTAAAATGAAGCTTACAGGGCTTAGAGAAACTAACTGTCACCCTTGAATCTGGAAAATCTTTGGAGGGTAGGGAAGGAAATGAGAATAGCTTTCCCTCTTTCCATATGAAGGACTCTGAAGGCCAAACTGAGTAGAAAGACTGAAGAGGCTAGAGATGAAGAGAAACAGGCAGTTGAGTCCCTCTTCACACATGACAGTCCTGAATCCTATAGCTAGTCAATGTACCTGCCAAATATCTGAAGAGTGCAAAAGCAATGAGAAGCCCACTTTCTTGTGAAGTGGCATATTCAGCATAACCGCATTGGCAAAAATATGGAGGACACCATGTTACCTCTTTACAGCCTACACCAGGGGCAGGCAATTATTTTGGGTGGAGGGCCACTTACTGAGTTTTGGCAAGCTGTCAAGGGCTGCAGGGGTAGCCCTGCCCATTGACAAGTGCCCCGCCTGCTGGTCACCATCTTGGGACCAGAAGTCTCGCCCCCTAACCTCTGACCTTTACCACCAGAAGTCCCTCCCCTTGCCCCTAGAAGTACTCCTTTGGGGAAGAAAGCTTGCCATCATAGAATGGGGAAAAAAACCCAAATTATTTACACTAAAAATCAAACACCCTTTGCCACTGCCTCTGGACTGCCCAACATAGCAGCAGTGACAGTGCAGAGCAGCCACAGGGCAGCTCACAGGTGGTGGTGAAGGAGCCACAACACAGCCTAGCACAGCATGGGCTCCAGGCAGCCGCAGCAAAAACTTCCCAGTGAGGGTGGGGGGGACTGCTTTCCCCCGTGCCGAGCAGCAGTTTCTGCCCAGCTGCTTCTGGCGCTGCTCAGCTCTGATGGGTGACCTGGAGCTGGATGCGCACTGGACCCCACCAGTACCACTGCATGTGGCCAGGCAGTGCAGAGCAGGCACAGGGCACGCTGGGGCTGCGTGCTGTTGGTGGTGGCAAGGAGGTACCGCAGAGCACTTGTGCTGTTGTGGGGTAGGGGAAAGGCAGTCCCTACCCCTTGAGCGCTTGGGTTCTGGGTTCTGGGGGGCATATGCGGGGGGGGCACCCATACATACCCCACATACCCTCAAACCCTTCCCACAAACCCCACAGCCACACATCTCACAGATACTGTACCCAACACACATCCCCACAAACTCCCCATACCCACCCACCCACAGCTCCCCACAAACCCCACACACTATACAAGAGTAAGACTGTATTTTGAGCTATTATGCAATCATTTCTATATATACAGCACAAAACACACAAATCAAGACAAAAGTATATCTTTTAATTAAAATATATTAATTACGAGTGTTTGACTTTTAGTATACAATTTGTTCCCCCCCGCTCATTCTAAGATGGCAACTCTCTTCCCCAAAGGAGTACTTCCAGGGGTAAGGGGAGGGACTTTCAGTGGTAAAGGTAAGAGGTTTGGGGCGGGACTTCCAGTCCCAAGATGGCAACCAGAGGATAGGGCAGTTGTCAAGGTGTAGGGCTACCCATGTGGCCGACAGCTTGCCAAAACTCAGGAAGTGGCCCTCCACCGAAAATAATTGCCTGCCCCTGAGCAAAATTGTGCCAGAAAACCAAAAGAAGCAGCCCATTCCA